TCCATCCATCTGTCCATCCATCCATCCGTCCGTCCATCCATCCATCCGTCCGTCCATCCATCCATCTGTCCATCCATCCATCCATCCATCCATCCATCCCATCATTCTTCCTTTTATCCACCATCAAGCAAATATTTGTTGGATATCTCTCATGTGTCAGCACAGCACTGGGCACCAGGCATATAAACTGAATGAGACCCAGCTCCTGCCTTCAAGAAACTCATGGTCTAGTTGGGGAGACACACAGGTAAATGAAAAGGGGCACAGAAGGGTGTTAGGACTCACTTGTGTATTAACTCCTCCGTTCAACACCTACTTACTGAGCACCTGTGGTATGCCAGACACTGTGGTGGGCACTTGTGAACCCGGTCCTCGTGAGCTCACAGTCTAGTGATAAAGGGCAGGATGGGGCTCATGTCTTCTGGAACATGCCTCCCAGGTAGCCTCAAGGGCGAGAGAAGGACGGGGGAGGCACACCAGTGTTTAACAGCCTCATCTAGGACGTGAAATATGTTGCTTCCTCCATAGTCCATTGGCCAGAATGGGTCATATCGCCCCAACCTGAGATATTTAATGAGCCCAAACTCTTTCTGCCACAGCAACTATTAGTTTCTGCCACTCCAAGTTCAGTCAGACATGCCCTTCCTCATGGAATTGGAATATCAAGGCCAATAATTCAAGGGCAGAAAGTGGCAGGAGCTTGGCCATTCCATTGGTTCCTGTGCCCAGAGCTTCCTGGGTTTGCAGTCCTTCCTGAGGACCGTATTTAATTGTTTTTAACGCCTCGAGACAGTTTCTTTTCCATAGACTTTTTTCTTTAATTGATCATCAGGAATTGTTTTCTGTTGCTTGAAGCCAAAAAGCTTAACAGCTATATGCCCCTGACTCATTTGTGTTACACAATCCCAACAGAGGGCGGACAGTTCAGGAGCCGCGTGCTGGCACTTTCTGAAGCACCGCTCTGTCTCAACAGCTGCGCTTAGGCAGTGATTTGAATATATGTTGCATTTTGTCCATGCGGATTTCTAAAAGCAAGTGAACCCGAAATACCAAAGCACTAATAACCTCCAACAGGAGACAGAGATGGGAATCATTCGGTCGGTTCAAAGGGACACATCGATTTGGAAGGCTCATTGATTTGGAGCAAGAAAAAAGAAACGCAGATGACAGAATGCCCAGGGAACGCCAGAAGCCCGTCACCGAGGATTGAATCTAGAAGGCAACATGATTCTCTGGAAGTGGAACCCTGCTTTGGAAGAGGCAAGCTTTTCGCCCGACCTGGAAGCAGGGTTTTAAGAAAGGGTACATGGGCACAGCCTGCCCGTCCCCAGACACTTGTCTGCCCTGTTTCCGGGGGCCCCTTTTTAGTGGGTTGTTCATTTTAAAGCTGCGGCCAGAGGTCACTATCAACCTCTCGGGCAGTTTCTCGACCTGCCTGTCCTTCTGCTGCTGGACAGGCTATAGGAGGCTGCCCTGTGTCAGGTGACCATTAGGTCCGCTCAGCTGTGGTGGGTGGGGTCAGGGGCAGGATTATATCCCCCCCCCTGCCCCACGATATAATAATATAATGCAAAAATGCAAAGCAAAACAAAGTCCTAAAACCCTTTCAGGGGGCTGTGGGCATTTTGAGGTTTGGAGTCTTCAAAAGGCGTGGTGGTGAGTCCCATGAGGTCCTGTTCTCTGGGGGGAGGTGGGAGGGGGGAGGGGCTGTTTCTCTGTTTTGTTTCTGTTGTTTTCTCAGGTGTGGGGTGAGTTACACGTGGCTTGGTCGTCCCAGGAGAGGCATACGTGGGGCCTGGCTATCGGGGGGGGGGCGGTTAGATCAATGGGGTCACAGGGATGTCACACGGGGCCCTGTTCTTCAGGGGATTTAGATGGAGACGCTGTTCTCGATGAGCGGAGGGTCCAGGTAGGTGTAGGGCAGGGCCAGCTCCTTGTTCCGTTTCTGGATATCCTTCGAGATCTGGGCCAGGCGGCTCTGGAAGGCGGCGATGCTCCGCCGGGGGGCCTCCTCGATGAAGTGCTCCTCCGGGTAGGTGCCCAGGGGCCGCTGGGAGGCAACGGCAAGGTCAGATGTAGGGGCTGCTTAGCAGCTGTGACCCGCCTTGGCCCTCCACCCTGGGGACCTGGAAGAAGCCTCCCACAGAGCCTCACCTCTGCCCCTCCCTCCAAACAGTTGAGGACCGCCGCGGGTAGCTCTTGGGGACCGGGCTAAAAGCTCACGTCGGAGTTTTAAAGGGGGTGCCGCGACCTCCCACCCCAACATGGTCACCTTGCAGCTCAGGGTGACTCTGGATCAACTCGTTCGATCATTTGCCCCTCCTCATGAGATGTCCCATGCTCATGTGCCCCCCTGGGAAGGTTCCGTGCGGTGAAGGGACCCCGCTCCTTGATGGCAGTGTGGGGTCTGGGCTGGGGCGGTGGGGAGGGGAACAATATCCGCTCGCATCCCCCAGAGCGGACCTGGCCTGGCCCCCCGGCCCCACACTCACTCGGTCTCCAGGCTCCTTGCTCAGCAACCAGAGGGTGACGATGATATCACACGTGGCGTTGACCGCTGGGAGGGTAGCTATGAACCCCTCTGGCTCTGTCTGGCCTTTGGAGGTGGGCGGGGGCAGCTGCATGGTGGGAGGTAGGTTGGGCATCCAGATGGAGGAGTCAAACTGCAGGGAGAGAAGGCAACGTGAGTCCCCGGAGCCTGGCCCCCTCCATCCCCCCACCCTGGCACTGCCCCATCTCACCTGCCCTGCACTAACAGCATAGTGCTTGGCAGAGCAATTGAAGATCACCATGGTGGCATAGTGCACCAGGGATTCCCGGGTGTCCAGCGAGGAGGGCACCCCTGCGGGAAGACGCGGGTGGACGTGGGGCTACCGGGGTCCTCAAGGCCACACCACAGGTGCCTGAGGGTGGGGCCCGAGGGCCGTGGTCTCCGTACCTGAGTCCTCTCGGCCCAGGAAGCCCTCAGAGAAGATCTCCCGCACCCAGGCCTGGAGTTCACTGTCGTCACGCACGGATGCGTCACTCGGGTAGTAGATGCTGACTATTTCGGAGACAAAGCTGCAAGGTGCACTGGGTTCAGGCCCCACTTTTGACCTTGACCCTCTCTGAGGAGCAACCGCCATTCAGTGTCATTGACGTCCGGCCCTGCTCCTTGTCGGGAGCCTCCCTGCGCCCTCCCCCGACCCCCAGCTCTCTGGCCCCCTCACCTCTCCACCGCACCCCAGATCTGCAGCCCATCATCCCGGTAGTAGTAGCCCGGGATGTCTTCCACTCCTCGGGCCCGGATATCCTCGGGCAGGCACAGGGCGGTATAGCTCAGTTCCTCCATGCGCCTCTGTATCAGCTCAGAGAAGCCTCCGAGGCCGATGCCTGTGGACTGGGAGACAGGACTTGTGGGTGCCAGAGCCCTGGACCCAGAAGCATGCGGTAGCACCGGTGGGAGAGACAGCCCCCCCCCCACTTCCCCACCCCGGGGCCTCAGCTTCTCCAAATGGCAGGCATCTCCCCTGTACCCTCCATAAGGAAGTTCTTACCCTTTCCACCACCTGGCCCGGGGCGATGAGCAGCTCGCGGGCAAGAGTGTTGATGTGAAGGGTGTAGCGAGTATGTGGGATCAACAGCTGGAGGGGTGGGAGAAGAGAGAGGTGGGGGAGGCCTGGCTCCCTCTGGCCTCAGACCTCCCTCTGGAAAGAGATGATGGGGACCAGAGGGGCGGCCTGGGCCAGGGATCAGGGCTCCAGACCTAGGACCAGGGGCTGGGCTCCACCGGCGTCTTGTGCTGTGACCTGGGCCTGGCACCTTGCTCTCTCTGGCCTGGATGAACATTACAAGCCCCCCAGCTCTGGCATTCTGGGATTTCCTAGTCCCTGGGCTGGCAGCGCGCCATGGAAACCAGGGCGTGTGGCGCAAACTGGAACCATCTCGCAGGGCACCGGGCCCTGGGAGCTGCAGATGGGAAAGAGTCAGCGTGGACTGAAGCGGATAGAGAAGGGCCTGCGTCTGGGACCGAGGAGACTAAGCAAGAAACAGAGAATCCAAAAAGCCATGGGGAATATTCGTGGCCTTCAGAGAAGGCCTCGGGTCCCTGGGGGAAAGCAATCTGGGCCACCTGAAGGCTTAGCAGAGCCCAGGGGACCTACAGAGCCCACCTTCGAGACACGGGTTCCCCTCCCAGGGCTCCCTCACCCCTGCCGCCATCTGCAGAAAACCCGTGGGTCTCTCAAGGCCAGTTCACACTTTGGCATCTGCCAGCCCCAGGTCTCTCCTAAAACTGGGCTTCTGGATGGCAGCTGGCTGTGAGCTGCTCTCCTCTAAGAAGGGGCCCTCTCTGGGGTACAGCTGGCTCTCACGTGCAGTTTCCTCCGTCACCCCTGTCCCCATCCCCCTCCCCCAGGCTCCCGCCGTGGGAAAGCAGGCTCGCAGGGGCTGGGCGCTGCACCCCCAGCCTGGAAGGACAGAGCCACATGGGGACAGGTGGAGGAGAGCCGCGAGGGACGGGGACCTGCAGGCCTAGGGCACGGTCCGGGCCACCGACCTTGAAGAGAGGGTGGCAGTGGGGCAGCTGGCGCAGCGTGGCCATGGTGAAAACCTCAGAGAGCAGGTGCGCTTGCAGCAGGTGCGTGAGGGTCTCGTGCACAGAGAACTCCGAGTTTCGCACCCACGTCTTGGCCAGCAGCCAGTCCCACTTGTTGTCGCTGGGCAGGAAGATGGGGCTGGTGGGTCCAGGGGTCTGGCTGAGCTGTAGGAGAAGCCGGTGTGGGCAGAGGAGGCCACGGGGTGCCTGCCGACCGCTCCGTCCAGCCCCCTCCCTCCCCCTGCCCCCCTGCCCACCTGGATGGCCAGAGGCAGCAAAGGCCCTCCCCCGGGTCTCTGGTACAACAGCGTCATCGGGGCTGCGGAGAACTGAGGCTTCCCGTTGATGACGTTGGTGCGGATGCCAGAGAGGATGGCGTGATCCACCAGGAACAGGGAGCCCCTCTGCGGGAGACAGAAGGGGAGCAGGGGCTGCCGGCTGGCTTTCTGAAGGATGCAGGGGTGGGGGTGCCGGGAGAGGATGGGCGAGGGGAGAGGAGTGTGCCCGGAGAGGGCGCTCCAGGCACGCAGCCCTTAGGAACGCTGAGCCTCCAGCAGGGGGCGGTGTGCAGAGCCTGGAC